TGGTCAGCTGCAGGCCCTGGGAGGCTGGCTGGAGCACAGCGCAGATGGGACCACCCCGTCACACTAGCAGCCAGCCAGGGGACACCATGGGACTGTTTTTCCCTGAAGTGGGGTTGGGGGGAACACAGCCGCTGAACCGACCTGTCCCCCGAATCCCCAAGCCTCCTGGACACTGGGATTTGGTTCGCGGACAAAGGAGAGGAAGAAGCCTGGCCCGGAGCGTGAGGAGGCCCAGGCTCCAAGCCAGCTCTTCCTCATTCTGGCCGTGCGACTTTGGGCAAACGCCCTCCCCTCTCTGGTCCCGATGCTTCTTTACGAGGACAGGCTGGACACCATGCTGGCCAAAGGCAGCCCAGTGGACGCAGAGCCGGAACCTGCCTCGGCCATCGGCAGCCCGGGCAGTCCCTTCCCTGCCCTGGACTGGGGGTGGCCTTTCTCCCCACACATTGATTAAGCTCAGGGGAGATGACATGAGAGGTTAGGAATCCGTCCCCTGGCTGCACAAAAGGTAGGGAAGTGCCCTTCTGCCTGTCGGGGATCTCTGGGGAGGCAGGAATGGCCGCCCCGAGCATCGGGTGGAGCGAGGGGCATGGGGCTATGGGGTCCACTTTGCCCGCCCCCCCCCCAGCAGAGACTGTGCTCTCTGGGCTCAGTTTCCACCAACCCCTCGGGGCCCGCCCTGTGTGAACTGGGACCCTCAAGCCTATGGGACTGACAGGAAGCCCCAGCGGCGGAGGCCTCCGGCCGGCAGAGAGGCCAGAAGGACTCACCCGGCTGCCTCCCGCACGCACAGCGATGAAAGCGCGGGGCTCCGATGGTGGTCCCGGTCCCAGCAGGAGCAGGTTCCGGGTTCCCTAGGTCGGCAGGGGCCGCAGGGGCCGCGGGGGCCGTCGGGAGGCAGGGGCCAAGCTCACTTCCTCCGGCCGTGGCTTCTGCAGAGCCTGCCGGCGGCTGCCTGCACACCGCTTCCTCTCACTGGGCTGCAGGCCTGAGGCTTCGAAATCGGTGCCACCACAGACCGACCGCAGAGCTCTGCCCCCCGCAGCCCCAAGGCCCAGCCACCCCTCCCAGCCCCCTGGATGCCCCACAGGCAACTCAGGTTTAATATTTCTTCTTTCTCTCCCTCTCCCCTCCCAATCACCCAAACCAAACCAGTTCCTCCCCGGCCTTCCTGTCTGCGAATGACAGCTCCAGCCACCCAGCCACTGAGGCCAGAAGCTGGGAGCCAGCGTCCCCGAGGCCCCACGTCCCCACCATCAGTGAACTGTCACTTCTGTCTGCAGGTCGACCCTCCACCCCCGCACCTCCACCAGGCCAGGCCCCGCCTGGACCACGCAGGAGCCTCCTGGCTGGACCAGGGGCTGCCAGCTTCTCTCACATTCTACAAGCAACCAGAGGACCCGCTTCATGTTCCAATTCACTGAAAACTCACCAGTGGTGTCCAGTAACTCTTAAAATAAAATCCATCCCGTGCAGCCCAGTCCATCATTCCCAGTGTGGCCTACTGGCACACCCCACCCTTACCTCCTAACTTCTCTCGCCCGCCCCCCTCCCCACCCCCCGC